TGGCAGGGCTGTTTCTCTTGGGATGGCGACCGCCCTTAGACTCCATGGATCCGGTGGTATGGCGAAGAATAAGGAAGCGGACCGGTTGGCCATTTTGGCCATGGATTTGGGCAGCAGTCGTATCCACCTGAGTCCCGACCCCAACCTTCTCACCTCCCTCTGCTGCTCTAACCTCCTCTGCTGGTCCGATGGCGGCTTCCGCCCCGGCCCCGCGTTCGGGGCAGCAGCATGGATTTTGAGGACCGCTGAGCCCCCTCACACCCCTCTCATGTATATTTACATTTTCCACCCGGAAGCGGCAGACAGCGTCGCAATGGAAATTCGGGCCCTGGCGCACGCCATCCAAACGGTCAGGCTAGCAGTGCAGGCCCGATCCCGTGAACATCTCGAGGATACGCTCGGCCCCATTTGCACTTCCAGGGACTTTTCACGGAGCTGGTGTTATTCGACTTAGTTTCACTTTTTCTGGTTTCCTCTGGGGCCAGGTTGCCCGGGCATTAATTGTCACAGGTGGCCCCCAAGAGTTAGTAGCATGTTGCGTGAGCCCCTCCTGGCAGGTAGCAGAGCAAGAGGACTGCAGCCACCGTGGCATAGCAGAGTCACAACAACACAACACACATATCAAATAGGAAGTTGCTCTGTTATATATACGATCTAGTATCTCATATACTGTGTTGTGTGTATAGACTTTGCTTTCTTTTTTCCCAGAAGCTTTGCAATTTTTAACCTGCGATATACGTGCCAACGCATGATATCAGCATGTTCGCATCTTCTTGAGTAGGTTCCACGTTTCGTCTGGGCATCCCACGCAGGAGCAGAGGGGGTCCCGCCCGCATCGCCCTCATCATCATCGTCATCATCACCACCACCACCCCTCTCTTCAGCGCTCAAGCAGTCACGCGCTCGCGCATTCACACTCGTCATCATCACCAGCATCTTCATCATCACTCAGTCCCTCGCACACTCGCTCACCCACTCATCGTGTGCGCCATCATCATCATCGAAATCACTCCCTTACTCACTCACACGTACACACACTCACACACTCACTCAGTCACACACTCATGCATTATTCTTGAGGAAGTCTAAGGCGGGGGCCTCGTGTGCGAGTGAATTGCGATGACGCCCCAGGCGGGGCCCCCTCCTTAAGGGCCCGCGTCTCATGTTGGTAATCGGAACGGGTCATCCAAACTTTGTAACTGTCGTCGCTTCTGGGCCACTCGCGCTTGGATTTTGAAGACGCCTCGGGCGGGGGCGCCATCTGTGAATGAATCGCGAGGAAGTTTCAGGCGGCCCCCCCCGTCCTTCTGGGGTCAGCATTTCATATTGGCGATCGACTTTGGGGGCCCCTTGCGCCTGATTTTTGAAGGGGCCTCAGGCGGGGGCGTCGTATGTGAGTGACTTGCGCGAAAGTCTACGGGCGGGGGGCTCCTCCCCATGGGGCCCGCGGCGTTGACACTCAGATTTTTCCAAGCCATCCTATGGTGTTGGGTCCTCGTTTTGAAGAGACGTCGCCCCGAGTTCTCCTCCTCCTCCTCTCCTCTCCTCCTCCCCCACTTCCCTCCCTCCTCCCACGTTGGCAATCCAAGCGGGCCATCTAAACCTTGTATTGTACTTCTGGGCCACTCGCGCCTGGATTCTGAGGACGCCCCAGGCGGGGGCCTCATCGGTGAGTGAATCTCGAGGAAGTCTCAGGCGGGGGCCCCCTCCCTATGGTGCCCGCGCTGCACGCTGGCAATGCGTGCGCGTCATGCGAAACGTAGACCCGCGCTAATTTTGGGCCCCCCAGCCAGGCTCGAATCTTGAAGAATTCTAGGGCGGGGGCCTCGTATGCGAGTGAGTCGCGAGGAAGTCTCGAGCGGGGGCCCCTTCGCTATGGGGCCCGCGGCTCCATGTTAGAATCAGCGCGAGTCATCGGGATCTCGTGGCTGTCGTCGCTGTTGGGGCCCTCAGGAACGAAGGGTGGCGCGAGCGCTCGCGGGCCAATCCGAGCGGGGTCACAGTCATTTTTGCGTTCTTAAAAGGGCCCTTCGCTCGGCTGAACCCGGTGTCCGGGCGCGGCGATGGCGTCGCCGTCGACTGCGCCGCGAGTTGGGGCGCTGGTCGCACGAGCGTGTCGGGCGAGCAGTGGTGACTGCGCCGCTGCGCCATGTTTTCCCGCGCCACGCGCGCGGTACGCCGTGGTCCTGCGGCCGCTTGCGCGAGAGTTCCGGGGGCGCGGGCCGCCGGCGCCCCCGCGGAAGGCGCTCCGGAAATCCGACGAGAGCGGGGAGCTCCACCGCCGAGGCGGAGGAGCTCGCAGCGCGGCCGGGCTCCGCGCTGCGCCCCGCGCGAGCGCGGCCGCGCCCGCCTTGGGCCCCGCGGGGTTGCCGTGACGCCCCCGCCCGCGGGGTTGTCCCAGCGGCCCGCGGGGTTGCCCCAGGGGCGTGGCCCGCGTGGCTGCCCCGAAAGCTTCGCGATCTAGCCGTCAGCGAACGCGCGCGCGCTGGCCGAGGCGGCGACGGCGCCGAGGACAATCGACTTGCTCGCCCCGGCCATGTTGGAAGGGGGGCACGCGCGGAGAGGAGGCGGGGGTGGTGCGGGGAGGGTGGGGCGAGGGGGGCGATGGTGAGGAGGAGGTTGGGAAGGAGGGAAAGGAGGACCAGGACCAATAGGAGGATCACGATAAATAGGAGCCGGGGGGCATCAGGATAACTGGGGGGAGAACAAGGAGGGGAGGGCTAGGGCGAGGAGGAAAGGGCCGCGGGCGAGCTGGACAGATTCGCGCGCGGGTCCTTACCGTCGGAGTCTTTTTGTTGTTTCCCAAAAATCTGCCGCCTCGAAAAAGTTAGAAAGCAGCGCGGGCAAAAGCGAAATGGGTATTTCGATGGGTGAATGCTGCGAACATTTTTTATTAAAACAATCCAGGCAAATCGACCTAACTGCGATGTGTAGGAGCATATATGGAAGCATTCCCTTTAAGATTCAGATGATAATCAAATTGTAGAATTCTGCTGTTCTCGCAGTCGTAGTCGCATTCGCGATGGCAGTCGCAGTGGCCTGCATCAGCCTCAGCCTCAGCCTCAGCCTGCCTCAGCCTCAGCCTCAGCTTCAGCCTCAGCCTCAGCCTCAGCCTCAGCCTCAGCCTCAGCCTGCCTCAGCCTCAGCCTCAGCCTGCTTCAGCCTCAGCCTCAGTCTGCCTTCAGCCTCGGCCTCAGCCTCAGCCTGCCTCAGCCTCAGCCTCAGCAGCCTCAGCCTCAGCCTCAGCCTCAGCGCCTCAGCCTCAGCCTCAGCCTCAGTCTGCCTCATCAGCCTGCCCTCACCTCAGCCTCAGCCTGCCTCAGCATCAGCCTGCCTCAGCCTCAGCCTCAGCCTGCCTCAGCCTCAGCCTCAGCCTGCTTCAGCCTCAGCCTCAGTCTGCCTTCAGCCTCGGCCTCAGCCTCAGCCTGGCCTCAGCAGCCTGCAGCCTCAGCCTCAGCCTCAGCCTGCCTCAGCCTCAGCCTGCCTCAGCCTCAGCCTCAGCCTGCCTCAGCCTCAGCCTCAGCCTGCTTCAGCCTCAGCCTCAGTCTGCCTTCAGCCTCGGCCTCAGCCTCAGCCTGCCTCAGCCTCAGCCTGCATCAGCCTCAGCCTCAGCCTCAGCCTCAGCCTCAGCCTCAGCCTCAGCCTCAGCCTCAGCCTCAGCCTCAGTCTGCTTCAGCCTCAGCCTCAGTCTGCCTTCAGCCTCGGCCTCAGCCTCAGCCTGCCTCAGCCTCAGCCTGCAGCAGCCTCAGCCTCAGCCTCAGCCTGCCTCAGCGTGAACCTGCCTCAGCCTCAGCCTCAGCCTGCCTCAGCCTCAGCCTCAGCCTCAGTCTGCTTCAGCCTCAGCCTCAGTTTGCCTTCAGTCTCGGCCTCAGCCTCAGCCTGCCTCAGCCTCAGTCTGCCTCAGCCAGCCTCAGCCTCAGCCTCAGCCTGCCTCAGCATCAGCCTGCCTCAGCCTCAGCCTCAGCCTGCCTCAGCCTCAGCCTCAGCCTGCATCAGCCTCAGCCTCAGCCTCAGTCTGTCTTCGGCCTCGGCCTCAGCCTCAGCCTGCCTCAGCCTCAGCCTGCCTCAGCCTCAGCCTCATCAGCTTGCCTCAGCATTCAAAATGTGGCCCGGGAATGGAATTCTGGAAACTCGAAGAACACGAAGTGGCCTACAGTTGGTTCCGGGCATTCAATCATGCCCAGGAATTGAGTTCTGGAAGCTCGAAGACCACGAAGTGGCTTACAGTTGGCTCCGGGCATTCAAAATCATGCCCAGGAATGGAGTTCTGGGAACTCGAAGACCACGAAGTGGCCTACAGTTGGCTCCGGGCATTCAGAATGTGGATAGAGTTCTGGGACCTCGAAGACCACGAAGTGTGTAGCTGTTTGCTTAAAACGACTTCCGCGGTTTCTCCCCGGATCCTGCTCGGACCCCCTCTGGGGAGTCAAGATGCTCTCTTTTGACTCCACTAGAAACCTATCAGTCTTCGCTGTTAGGTGGTAAAAACTAGATCTCAATCGGGTTTCCATTGTGGCGGAATGCAGAATGCCAGCAGCAAGCTGACGACGCGCTCCGCCTCCCACAAAACAAAATCCTAATAAACGCAGGGGAGGGATTCGACCCCTGAACCCCCAGCAAGATAGCGAAGGTGCGGCGGCTCCGCCATCGAGAGCGTATCGCCGATTCCCTACCGTTGCCCCCCCCCCCCCCCCGAGCCAGTCCCCCCCCAGGTATGCAATCCCTGGGAGGTTAATTTCAGCATTGGAGCTGGTATACGCGCGACTGAGAACCATCCTGATCTGGCTGAACCCGGCTTAAATGATGCTGAATTATCCGGTTTAATCCGGCCTGGGCTCAATTTGGGCCAATCCGGCCCACTGGCCCCCTAATCGGGCTCAGTAGCCTTTCAATCGCCCTTTCAGTCGGGCTTAATCGTTTCCATTTGTTTTCACAAAGCCCTCACAGAAGATGTCTCCTAATCCCCCAATCGCCCCCCCCCTTCCCCCCCCTTAGCGCAGGACACCGCCGTGCTCGACGGCGTGCTGGAGAAGGGCTTCGTCCGGGCCGCCGACGGCACCGAGAAGACCACGCTGGATGCCTCCGTCTGCTGCAACAACTCGAAGCTGGAGAGATAAGCTCCGAGGTGGCCGACGCGTGACGCGTGACGCGCGAATCGGCGAGTCGGCCGTGGCGCTTGGCGCGTGGCGCGTGGGCGAGGAGGAGAAGGATAGAGGATTCTGATGATGCTAATGGTTAAGGTGATGGTGATGGTGTTGGCGATGGTGGTGGTGGTGCCGATGAAGATGGTGATGAGGGTACTGTTTATGATGATGGTGGTGGTGATGCTACTGATGACTATGAGGATGATGATCATGGTGAGTGATCGTATGTTGTTGTTGTCGTTGTCGCTGCTGCTGTTTGTCTTGTTGTGGTTGTGGTTGTGGTTGTGGTTGTGGTTGTGGTTGTGGTTGTTGTTGTTGTTGTTGTTGTTGTTGTTGTTGAAGTCTCATTTCTGAAGAACAATTATGGTTGATCCCCCCTCACCGGTGCATGCTGTTTTTTCTTAAGCAAAGTGTGCCCTTCGACCCTCGCACCCTGTTTTTTTGTGGGGGGATGTCTTGATGCTCAAACTGGGCCCCTGGCCCCCCGGGTTACAACACCAACGGCTCCCGCCTGAGGCTTCCTCGCAATTGAATCAAGACCCCCGCTCCCGCCAGAGAACCTTTCACACTTTATTCAAGAATTACGCTCTCGCCTGTGACTTCCATGCAATTTATTCAGAAGTCGCGCTTTCGACGCTCAGGTAACACGCTGCGCCAAGGACGCCGTTACATTTTATTCGATAATCGTGCTCTCGTCATACTCAGGCATCCCGCTTGAATGTCCCACCCGCCCGACCCGCCCGTCAGGGGATCGCCCGCCCGTCGTGGGCTCCCGCCCGAGACTTCCTTCAGGAACGGCGCTTTCGCCTAGGACTCCCTCGAACGTTCACGCTCTTACCTCCCTGCTCTCTCTCTCTCTCCCCTCTTTCTCTTCTTCTCTACCTTTTTTTTGTTTGTTTTTATCTCTCTCTCTTTTTTTTTTTTCTTTCTCTCTCTCTCTCTCTTTCTCTGCCTCTCATCAACCACCCCCCTCTTCGCTTCTGTTCTGCTGGCGTTTTCCCTCGTCCTTTGTCCCTCCCCTTCCCTTCCTCCCATGCTCCCTCATTCTCCCCCTCCTTTTTTGCAGGGCCCACACGAATTTCAATGGCGGGCGCATGTACGCACACGAAGGATTGTCCGCCCGTTCAGGTTTGCCCGCCTGTCTAAGCCCGCCGCCCCCCGCAAAGAGAAATAATCCCCCCAAAGGGGGTGTGATCGAAGACAGAAAGGGCAGGTATCGATGGTGTGGGGAATTCGTTTTGAATGACACACGGGCAAATAAGAGCGAATAGTCTTATAATCATTGCTGTTGTTGTTGTTGTTGTTGTTGTTGTTGTTGCTGAACTCTCATTTATTGTTGATCCCCTCACCGGTGCATGCTGTCTTTTCTCAATCGAAGTGTGCCCTCGACGCTCGCACCCTGTTTTTCTTCTGTGAGGGAGAGTCTTGATGCGCAAACTAGGCCCCTGGCCCCCCAGGTTACAACAACAACAACGGTTCCCGCCCGAGACTTCCTCGCATTTTACTCAGGACACCCGCTCCTGAGACTTCCTCACAAGTTACTCAGGATCGGTGCTCCCGCCTATGACTTCTTCGCAATTTAGTCAGGACGTCCGCTCCCATCTGAGATTTCTTGGCAATTTACTTAGGAACGGCGCTCCCGCTTGGGATTTCCTCGCAATTGAATCAAGACTTCCTCGCAACTTAATCAAGACCCCCGCTTCTGCCAGAGAGCCCTTCACATTTATTCAGGAGTTGCGCTCCCGCCTGCAAGTTATTCACACATCGCGCTTTCGACGCTCAGGTAACACGCTGCGCCAAAGACGCCGTTACAATTCATTTAGTAATCGCGCCCCCGCCGTACTCAGGCATCCCGCTTGAATGTCCCACCCGCCCGACCCGCCCGTCAGAGGATCGCCCGCCCGTCGTGGGCTCCCGCCCTCCTTCAGGAACGGACTTCCTCGAACGTTCACGCTCTTACCTTTCTGCTCCTCTTCCCTCTCCCTCCTCCCACCTCCCTCCTCTCCTCCCTTCTCTCTCCCTCCTCTTTTCCCTCATCCTTATGCCTATTTGCCTCGTCCCCTCTCCCTCCTCTCCCTCCTCCCTTCCCCCTCCCGTCGCCTGCCTCCTCCCTCCTTTCTTCTTTCTTTCTCTCTGTTTCCCCCCTCTCCCTCTCTTTCTCTACTTCTCTTATTTGTATTTCTTTCTCTGTGTGTGTGTCTCTCTCTCTCTCTCCCTCTCTCTCTCTCTCTCTCTCTCTCTCTCTCTCTCTCTCTCTCTCTCTCTCTCTCTCTCTCTGTGGCTCTAATCAACCGCTCTCCCCTTTTCGCTCCTTTTCTCCTGGCGTTTTCCCTCTTCCTTCGTCCCCCCTCCCTTCCTCCCACTCTCCCTCGTTCTCCCCTTCTTTTTCTTGCAAGGCTCACACCACTGCCAATGGCGGGCACATGTACGCCCACGAAGGATGGTCCGCCTGTTCAGGTTTGCCCGCCTGTCTAAGCCCGCCGCCCCCCGCAAAGAGAAATAATCCCCCCAAAGGGGGTGTGATCGAAGACAGAAAGGGCGGGTATCGATGGTGCGGGGGATTCGTTTTGAATGGCACGCGGGCAAGTAAGAGCGAACAGTCTTATAATGATTGTTGTTGTTGTTGCTGCTGCTGCTGCTGTTTTTGCTTATTTCGTTGTTGGTGGTGTTGTTGTTGGTGTTGGTGTTTGTGTAGTTATGGGTGTTGCTGTTGCTGTTTATGTTGCTGTTGTTGTTGGGCTCCGAATTTTGAAGAACGGTTGTTGTGGGTCCCCCCCCTGGTAACACTTTTATTTATCCTGTTGAAGCGCCCCTCTGGGGGCCCGCACTTTGTTTACAGGGAACGTCGTGAGCCTCAAACTGGGCGGCCCCCGAGTTGCAACAACAATGGCTCCCGTTTCATACTTCCTCACAGTGTATTGAGAAATCAGGTGTTCGCTTGAGATTTCCGTGCGACCTACTCAGGAATCGCGCTCTCGCTTCAACCCCCCTCGCAATTTATTCAGATGCTGCCCCATCGACATTCAAATCGCGCTTTCGTTTTGGATTTCCTTTCGATGTTCTTGGGGGTTGCGCTCTCGCTACATATTTCCTTCCGATTCACGCAGCATCCCCGCTTCTGCGACCCGCCCGCTCGACCCGGCCGTCGGGCCCGCCCGCCCGACCCGCCCGTTAGGGACTGTAGTCGCTTCTCGCTGCCCTTCGCCCGCTCTCGATGCCCATCGTTGCCCGCACTGGTTCCGCGGTCGCCTTCGCTCGCTGCCCTTCGCGGCCCCGTTGATGCCTTTCGTGGCCCCCGTGCTGCCCTTCGTGGCCCCTTTGCTGCCCTTCGTGGCTCCGCTGTCGCCCTTCGTGGCCCCATATACGTATGCTCTTCGTGGCCCCCGCTCGCTCGCGCCCGTCGTGGCCCCATATGCGTGCCCTTCGTGGCCCAGATGTCGCCCTTTGTGGCCCCCTCGCTGCCCTTCGTTGCCCTGGTGTTACTCTCGGCCGCCTCGTCGCTGCCCTTTGTGGCCCCGCATCATACGCCCTCCGTGGCCCCCGCTCGCTCGCGCCCTTCGTGGCCCCATGCTGTCGCCCTTCGTGGCCCCCTCGCTGCCGTTCGTGGCCCCATCAGTGCCCTTCGTGGCCCCGCTGTCGCCGTTTCTGGCCCCATATGTATACCCTTCGTGTCTCCCGCTCGTTCGCGCCCGTCGTGGCCCCATATGCATGTCCTTCGTGGCCCCGCTGTCGCCCTTCGTGGCCCCCTCGCTGCCCTTCGTGCCCCCTTTGCTGCCCTCAGCCGCCCCGTCCTTGCCCTCTGCGGCCCCATATATGTATGCCCTTTGTGGCCCCCGCTCGCTCGCAACCATCGTGGTCCCATACGCATACCCTTCGTGGTTCCGTTGTCGCCCTTCGTGGCCCACTCGCTGCCCTTAGTGGCCCCATTCCTGCCCTTCGTGGCCCCGCTCTCGCCCTTTGAGGCCCCATATGCGTCTGCTCTTCCTCCGTCTTCTCTTCCTCTCATCCGTCCTGTCTTCCCCTCCTCAGGGGTCGCACACAAATGCACGTTGCAGGTAAGAAAGACATCCCCTCAAAGGAGTACGATCGAAGACGAAGGGGGCGGGTACCGAGGGCTTGGGATACACTTGTGGGCAGGCACGTGAGCTGATGAGAGCGAACCGTCTTGAACTGATTGTTGACCAATGATTAATAGACAATTATTATTGTTGGACCCTCGCCAGGCGCTTTGGCGTTTCGGCGCCAGCTACATTTTCATTGAGCATGAGGCTCACGCTCGAGCGGTTTGGGGGGGCGCCCAAGCTGGCCCCCAGCAGCAACAATCAATTTGAAGACTATTCGTTCTTATCTGCTCGCGTGTCATTCAATATGCATGTCCTAAACCCTGGATGCCCGCCCTCTTCGTCTTCGATCGCACCCCCTTTGGGGGTGTATTCATTCCCTGCCACGTGTGGTTGGCGAAGCCCTTGAAAACGAAGGGCAACACATAACGGGGGATCATGAGGACGAAGGGATCGGAGGAAGGGCAGGGAGGGGCAAGAAGGAGGGAGGGCGATGATTTGCGCTGCGAGTGGCGATTCAACTTGCGTCATGGCTTGCGCCAGCCACTCCAACACAGGTTGACAATAAGTTTCGCCATGGGTTGCGCCATCAACAGCGCCACGTACCACCCCCCTGAAATAACATATCGTGGATACCGCCACGGGGGGGCGCACAGCTGCGAAGTGTTGTCAGAAACAAATATCGTGGAACCTTGAAAAGAAAACGGGATGTTGGGAGAGTGGGGCGGAAGGATCGTGAGAACTGTATGCGTGTCGAGAAGGGCGCGGGGATGTGGATTGGACTGGGATGGAGTGGACAAGAGTAGGGCCTCAGGAGGAGGAGCGGCAAGAAGTGGAGAAGAGGAGCCGGGAGGAGTGCGGAGGAGCGGGGGGCGCGCGGAGGAATCTGGAGGAGGGACAGGGAATAATCTGGGAAGGCGGAGTGCGAGCGGGAAGGGGTGGGTATTATTGGTGTGGGATGGGGTGGCTTGGGGGGGAGTGGGCGGAATGGGAAGAACTGTTGAACAACACAATGGAGTACGAACGAAAC